TACAGGCCATATTAAATCGTATTCTTATTTTTTACAGCTCAATACTGTAAACGAAAATGAAAATGAGGGGATTTCGCCTCCTGTTTTCATAAAAATGATTCTAACCGGAGTACCCACGAGCTTCCGTGAATACTGACTTCTTAAATGAGTTTAGTTCATTTATAAGTAAGACTAATGAACTAAAGGTATGCGAATGTGGGTGAGAAAAGACGCACTTGAAAGAAAGCGAGGATGCGCTTCTCATACTTGCGAAATCCAGGTAGATTTTATTTTTAGAAATTCAGACACTTGGTCGTTTTTTCATGTTATTTTGGCCAGCCTAAATCCTAATGCTGTATCTCTTTAAATACTGTAGGCAGTGCTGTGGGCCTGTGTAGAGCGCTCCCAGTTCTGTCTTCTCAGTGATGTGGATGTGGATGTGTGCAGGCAGCTGCGGGGTTGTCTAGCATGCACTTAGGATCCCGAGAAAGGGACAGATCTTTTCCCAAGACCGGCTACATCAGAAGTGTGGAGATCGCATCTGACCTGATTAGTTTGTAGGATCCCTTGTCGAGATGGTTTTTTAAAGACTTTACCAACACCACAGCCCCCGTGTTTTTTCCAAGCAGGACAGTGAGTGAGGGTCTTTATAAAAATAATTTTTCGTATTGCCGGTGTGTCTCTGCAGCACCCAGTCATCGCTGTATTAAAGCAGAGCAGAAGGGGAGCGTACAGTACAGCTCACCGGGATTGAACAGCGCTGTGCGAGCAAGCGGTCTCTGATGTGAAATAAGTAGAATTAACCGCGATGTGAAAATGGGAACGGGAGTCGGGGATCTGAGAAGCGCCCCATCGTTGTTCTCACATTAAGAAAGAAAGCACCAAGATTACAGGAAAGACAGTAAGACGGAGGGGCATTTTCAAACTGATGCCTGTAAGCTTTGTCCGCTTCAAGGTTCCTGAGTTAGTACTGCACAGCCTTTCTAACTGAACTGTTCGCTGCCGGAGAAATGTTTTGACAGCATTGAGGAGAAAGCGGACCAGCATTTGGTGACTGGAGTTCTGCTCAGTGCTCCCGTTAGAGAGACGGAGCCCTGTCTTTAAAGAGGTATGTAATAAAAATGATAATAGGAGAGACGTTAAAACGATGTGCTGTCCACAAAGACAGTAGCGGCGTCCCATTTATAGAAAAATTATCTTGGTCACTATCTCAAAAACTAAACCTCTGCCAATAGACTTAACCATTTCACAGGTGAGTTGTAACGCGCTCCTCTTCAATTCTGAAACTCAGGGAGCTGTGTATATCACTTAAAGTGTTAATTTAACACATGGTGATTTTTGCTTGTGTCAGTTGCTAAAATTTATTGGGTCACATTGATTTGGTTTAACTTTAATAACCGGCTGGTGTTCTCCAGACTGTTATATCTATAGTACTGTATGTGGAGCAACACCGATACTTTGAGTGATGTTTCCGGATTTGAATATATTCTAACCACTCCATTGGCATTTCTTGTGAAATTCTGATTTAAAGGAGAATCACTCTTCTGTGCTTTCCTCGGGGATCCGCAATAGCTAATTCTTTTTTTTTTTCACTTCTAAAATGAATTATAGCATTGATCCCTCTTCTTAAGTGTGAAGTCTAATGCTTTCAGCAGAAAATACATGCAATTGGAATTGGAGCTGGGATTTGGAATAATTGACACAGGTCCACGTCTGGAAATTAGCGAAAATAGTCGTGGCAAATGAGAGGAGGCTGAAAAGCAAAATTAAGCACTCTCCATAAATATTGTATTCTCTTCCAATTGCGCAAATTCTAGGCGGTTGGGTACATGCATATAGGCTGTTCTCCATGTTGAATATTCTGTGAATTTATCTGTTACATTCGGTGGAAATCTTTTTGCCACCCCCAATGTGTTAGTCTAGTCTTTTGCAATTGACAAATGTGTTATAAAGTTGGCTTGTTTGGGTTTTGTGGTAAATTTGCTTATATTCCAGGATTCTGGTCTAAAACGTCAGTTATAATTCAAACAGTACATACGGTAAAAAGCCTCACTTCTGGAGCTGAAGATATACAGTAACATTATTATTGTTTTTTTCTCTGCATTCTCTAAACGGTCGTAACAATTTGCGCTTCTTCTAAGCTACAGGGTGTTTAAATTAGCTTTAACTGTAAACTAGCTGATTAAAACTAAATGTAATGGGATAGACTATCGGCAATACTTCACTCTAATTAATCCTTAATTCACCATAAGAAGTTACCTTCTGTAGTCACCTGAGTAGCTGAAGAGAAGGGTAAAGACGGACACCAATATGTTAATACTTTATAAAATGTTCCTTTCATGCGCCGTAGGGGTTATTGAAATTATGTTAGTGTTCAACGATTTCTGCGTCAAATGAATTGATTGTGTGGTCACCCGAAAGGGGCAGGGTTAATAAGTAAAGGTTGAAAGCTAAAGATCTTTCGTAAGTAACAAGTAAATAACAAAACGTGAAAAGAAGCGGTGACTTGCATTTTACACGAGATTCAAACCAACACAACACAACAATCAAACAACAACATATTTCTCTCATTTGTTTGATTTCAGTTGAGAAGGAGAGGCTTTGCGGTAGCCACACCACGTTCTTTCTACTGTACGTGCTTAAAACTGAAATACAGAATTAGTGATTGTGAAAACACGTTCTGCAGAAAGCACACTATTACAAGATGTGGCTATTTTAAATTAGTGCCTATTTTATTGTGGTTATTTTATTTTTTCATTGCAGACAACACTTCATATCTTCATGACACGTCTAGTGTCATTCCTTTTATTAATATAAATATGTATATTCAACGATGAATTTATTAAGGCAATTCCAGATCAACCAGTACTTGTGATCTAGGATGAAATATTGTCTTTGCTGACGTGTTTTTAATGGTGTCAAAATAACAGGTAACTCTGGGAATCATCACTTCTTCCAATTAACTTCTGCTTTTCTTACATTGCTGCTTTCTAATTAGACACTTCCTGTGAGTGGTTTATCAACATGTAGGGTTCTTGCTCTTGGCAGTAAGACGCAATCCCCAATGTGAGTTCTGTCCAAATGACACTGCAGGTTGGCACTTTGTACAGAGATCTGTCTAGAGGGCTTTTTTTGATAGACAGGCAAAGCTGCAAAATGGACATACAGCTGAGGTTAACACACCTTGGGGAGATGGTGAGTGGAGTTATTCAGGACTCTATCTGCCTGCCACGTCCATTTGAGTTTTATCTGGGGAACTCAGCTTACCTGTGCAGAAATCCATTTTTATTATCTTGCACGTCCTCTTAAAAAAAGTCCTGTGTCACTCTCTAGCATTCTCTGGAATCCCAAGATCCTAAAATCTGATTCCTATGTTGCTCGGGGGGGAACTATATTGCTTTGATTCTACTGAGATGTTGCAAGTGTGAGCAGACCTGTGCACTGTCCCCTACATAAAGGCAGGGTTTTCTGAATGCTTGATATGTTCGGACATTGGAAAGCACTTGAGGGAAAAAAAAAAACATGTTTCTTTTGGTGTCCAACAAATTTCTTAGCTTAAGTGTGAAAGAGGTGAGTCGCATGAATTAGCAGTCATTCACTTTGACAAATTAAATCATTAAGCAGCTGACGGCCGTGTACAATGACGGTTCAGTAAAGGATAATGTCTGCATGTTCCTTCAGTGAAGGCTGAGCAAGACAGCGGATCTGACACGCTTTGGACTACTTTTGGCGGTGGCCGTGCCAAGACCTTCTGCATTCACAACAGTAGATAATACTGCTTTTTGCTTAGGAAGAATTTTCAAAAAAGCAATGGGAATGACAGTACCAGGAAAGCATTCTGTATGATTCAGTGGGCATGTTAGCTTTGATATTGCTGCACTATTCAGTCAATACAAGAAATATGCATGTGGTCAGATAAAAGGAAAAATATCTGGAGATATTATGGAGATATTTGTGTAGTTCTAAACATAATCGTTGGAAAACAAGACATTGTTTCCTAAGCACAGTAGTCTTCCCCTTACTCTCAAAACATGGCAGATACCAGATTGCAGGAAATTTTACTGAGCAATATGAAAGATAAACAAGAATGTTTTTGAGCTTGTGCACATTATGCACCGAGTGCCTGGGAAAGCTGAACTATCAGATGCAGTAAAAAGTAAGCAAACTTGCTCAGCACCTTTTCTTTTTCTCAGAAGCTGTAAAGGAAATCGAAACATGTCATGCTCCAGACCCCTTTGTGACGTTGACTATAACCTCCTCAGGACTCTTCCTGAAGTCCTGACTAACAGTTTCCTGACACTGGTATGGAATGTTAAACCAAAACACGAAATGTAAGAAAACAAAACCCCATAAAGAAAACAATTCACTCGTTATATTTAATGGTCACAAGCGTATCCTCATCATGGACATTAGTTCGATTATTTCATGAAAATCCTGGTAATAATTTACACTCAATTGTATGGATAGCTTTGTATATTTTTATTATTGTATATTTCTATTAATGTGCCTACTGTATATCCATACTGTATATTTACAGAACAATAAGCAATAACCTATTGTAAAAGGAATAGCTGCAAGTTATATTTGTTTACATATGAAAAAGTGTTAATATTGTCTGTTTTGTTCAGCATAATGAATAGTATTTTACTTTTATGGCTTGCAGTGGGAGAGGGTTTTATGAGGACTTTCAGTGGGGAAAGATTTTATGACTGTTGCCTTATTAATAGACCTGCAAACTAAAATGTATGATGGCAATATTCCTCAAGTAGGATATAAGCCACAAGCCATAATTTTAAAAATAAATAAATATGTGTCCACGCACTCGTGATAGCAAGTTCCTGTGTTTGGACATTTAGTTGGATCCTGATGCAATACTGGTCAGCTTTGACTAAAATAGTTTTTGTGAAGAAAGCCACTAATCTAAAACATCCTTTTTTTGGTATTTCAACTGAACCTGACAGGGCAAGGAAGGGTGTTTGGGGTCTACTGGTGGCATCTTGTTTGCCATTGAAACAATAACTCCTTGAAACAATAGCTCTAATTCCCTTTCCAGAAACAGAATCTGTGGAGCTGTTTTGCCACAACAACACTGCAATGCTTAATAAGCCACATTATGAAAAGGCACAGCAGACCAACAACTTGACAAAATTAGTTATCACAGTCGCCGCAAGGAAACTGCAGTGCATTTTAATGATTTATGTTACATGTTGCAAAGTGAATCCATAAACTGCATAGCATTAAACAGTACTGGAGCCATTTCACTGTAAAAAAAGTAGATAGGAGAAGTAAAATTGTCTTAGATTTTAGTAGAAACAGGGGTTTGTGGCAGTGTGTTATTACTCTGCCTGGTATTTAAAAAATTTCTTTAAAGCTACAAAGGAGTCAGATCATACGTCAATTTAGTGTTTCTTTATTAATGTAATGGTGCAGAGATCATATCTAACTGGAAGACAGCATTGAAAAGATAGCTACTAGGAGACATATTTGAACTTCAGAACTTCAAAGGGAGAGCTCAGTTGTAGTTACTGGAGTATAAACTGATGAGAGAGTAGAATAAATGAAAAAAATAAAAGAAATAATACTGCTTTTCAATCGACTAAATGTTGTTTGCCCACCAATGAAATGCTTGCCTTCTGATATTTTGAAGCTGCGATTTACAACCCAGACTAGCTAAAACATTCAACAGCGGAAGGTTTGTGGAAGCAGTTGAGTAGTCAGAGAGCAAGACTGTTAGCCAGGCAATTTGCTGTCAGGCTGCAGGTCAGGAGCATTTGACTGAGGCTTGGGTGCTCAGTGCTGCATATATTAAATGATGTTTGCTCATGGAGTCAGGAAAGGGGGCGAGGCGTTTTGTCTGAATAGCCTCACAAACTCAAGTGGTAGGCAGGCAATGCGAAAAAAAAACCCAGCTTAGGCACAAAACTTGTCAAACGGATATAAAAATGATAGCAAGCTGTGCATTTACCCATGAATAAAATTCTAAATCTGCTTCCAGAAATAATTAAAATCTGTGATAGATTGTTGTGGGTGGCACAGTGGTGCAGTGGTTGGCATAAGTGCTTTGCAACACTGCAGCTCTGGGTTCAATTCCACACTGGGGATGCTGTCTGTGTGGAGTTTGTATGTTCTCCACATGTTTGGATACAATAGGTTTCCCCTGGGCCCTCTGGTTTCCACTCAGAGGCCAAAGACATACTGGTAAGATGATTGGCTTCTGAGAAACCTGGCCCTGGACTGAGTGTGTGCATGTCAGTGTCTGTGTGTGCTCTGTGATAGACTGGACTGTCTTGTCCAGGGAATATCCTGCCTTGTGCGGCCTGTTGCTTGCTGGGCATGAGCTCCAACTCCTCCACAGCCCTGTATTGGATAAAGAGGTTAGAAGATGGATGGTTATGCTCTTGTTCATTTTTTAAAGGACTGAAAGGTGTTGCAAAAAAACCCCACCTTTTTGTACCTTTATTCTTTATGCATGCAGAATAAACATCACACTCAATATACTTTCTTAGAGCTTCTTTTCATACTTCCACAAATTCAGTTCAGGTTCATTAAACCTATTTTGAAACTCTTTAGGAGGTTGAGAACTGATGTTGGTATCATTCCACAGGCCGGTGGAATCAGTGACTATACAAATTATTTTGGAATGTGTTAGAGATTCTGAATCTGTCCAGAATGTCATGAGAGTTGTGCCTTCAGCCACCCATATCCGAACAATATGCTAAGACAATGTTTGTGTACAGTCTGTCTTAAGTTATATCATTAGTATCTATTGAGAGTCAATATTATTTACAAAAAGGCAGTGTGTAAATGGCTCCTTATATATTAGCTTTTTAAGAGTTGTAACTGTCACGGTACAGTATATACTGTACAGTAAATCCATGATGTTTGGTTATGATTACAGGGCATTTTACATGTAGGCATAGCAATAAGGACTGTATAGATGGGACTTACTCATCCTGTACTGTCATTCTTATTTTATTGCTGTATACCTGACTAGTGTGTCTTTGTTATGGGCTTTAGAATAATAAATGCTATGAAGCTTAAATTTGCTTTGGAAAACTGGTGTTTAAAATGTAAATTGCTGCATTGGCTATAATCCTATATTATAGGCTATTGATGATATATTATGTCATGGTGTTAAAAGGTATATTTATTTTGCTAATGTTTTTAAATCACTGCATGGCATTATTTATAACCCTGTTTTAGGTGTATGTACATGCTTTCCGGCAGGCAGTGTAATCTAAGACAATGGGCAGTTTCCATTGTGTAATTCTAAAGCTATTGTTGTCCAGACAGATGGCTTTGTTTTACTGAAAGCCTATAAAATGGGCAGGAACATAAGATTGACAAACAGTTAACTAGAAATGCAGTGGTACTGTACCTGTGAAGAATGTTTGGAGCCCCTTCTGTGCTTCCTTGGTGTTTTGCCAGTCTTTAAATGCTTAAAATCCCTCCTGTAGGATCCATTTAGTTGAGGCTTGCCTTTTGCTCATTATACCCAGGACTACATCTCGAACTTTTGTTGACCCTGTCTTTTCCGCTGCTGCTGCTTTGTTATTTATTAGATTGGAATGCCCTTTTTCTGACTCTGCAAGAGACAAATTCTTTGACTGTATTAACATTTCAACTCAAAACTCACCTATAGGGCTTGTCTGATTGCCCTATATTGTATCCTGTATGTCCTTGTTTATTTTTAGTCTAATTTTTTTATTGTACTTTTTAAAGCTGTTATGTACTATGTGAAGTTCTGGAGTTCTCAGCCCAGAAGAAGACAGGCAACCTGGAAGCAGACAGGCAAGCTGCTGCAGTATCCACTGTGTGAAGTTCTGGAGTTCTCAGCCCACTAGGAAGCAGACAGGCAACTTCGTGCCAGATGGTTCTTCAAAAAAAGAGGCCTGTTTCACAGCGAGCTTGTTCAGTGCGATATTTACAGCCAGCGTTATTGTATTGCATTATTGCAGCTATCGCTTACCGTTAAAAAATGAAATAACTAGGGGTCCTGAGTGTCACAGCTACTAAGGGCACTCTTTGAGAGTGCACGTCGAGGCTCATATTGCTGATTGAGCCAGGGCTATGTCATTAGCTGAGTGTGCCTAAGATTCACCGAGCAGAGGTGCACAAATGCTGAAGTGCTGATGAGGCAGGCTGGACTGCCCCTATCCTTGGCTCGCTGCTAAACAGCGACTTCAGTAATTTGCTGGGCACCTGTTACAATGTCGCTGACCTGTTGTCAGTAAAGAACGCATCGACCTTGAGATAGAAGCAAGATCTCAGTTAGAGGCACTGTGGGATTGCGTTGTGACAAAGATGGCTGATACTCCTGACAACAGTGTGCTCCGTCCTTCTCCCCCGTGTGCTAGTACAAGGTCTGAAGCATTAAGGCCGTGCTGGGTAACGATCAGTTATTCCAAATTGAGTGGAGAAATAAAAAATAAATCTAGTGATGAAATAGCAAAATCTTTTTTTTTTGTCTTTTCAAAATAAATAACCCGGGAACGCAATTACAGGCTGCCCCTAGACCTTTTCCTTTCACTCGATTTTTTTCTTGCCATGTAATTATGCTAATTATGTTTTATTTAAGTGCTTTGAAAGCGTTGCCTACTGTTTTACTCTTTCATCAGCATATCCTTGTTAAGGAATGTGAAAAGGTCTGGATATTCTAAATAACACCTGCTTCGCTGCTGGCATGTGCCCTGGAAATGCAAATATGGCATCTTTGCACAGTGGTGCTTGCTTCTAGTCAATTTGGAGGCACTTTCTCTGTGTTTGCATTCACTGGGGAAGGCAAGAGATCTACTTCACTGAGGCAGCACAGTGGTTTTGGTTTACTGAGCACAGCTGTAGTGAATTATAAAGTGGCTTCTGTGCCGTGAAGGCTGTCACTTCGCTTTGTCAACATCTCAGGCAGTACTAACCCATTAGTGACTTGTTGCTGCAGAGATGATGGATCAGCTGTGAGCAAGCTGCCTACTGGGATTAATGCCTTGGAGAGACACAAGTGAGCCATAGGTTTCTTTTTGTGGTTATTGTCCTTATTCTAATTGTCAGTAATAACGGTATTAGTACTAGCAGTGCTGGAGTGCGTGGGAATTTCTTTTTGTATTGTTATGCTAGATTTGTTTACTCTTTTTGTGATACTAATTGCTTTTTTAATTAAGAACAGTTGTTGAAGAGAGGGAAGGGGGAATACTGGAAAAAAATGGCTTGAGAAACTATATTCAGATACCACATGACACGGAGGATGTTTCTGTTCTTCTCTGTAACAGTTTTTCTTTTGTTCCTGCTATTTTTACAGAGTGTTGCTGTAACAATTGTTGATGTAACTTGGTTAGAACTGTTCGTGGTTTGATTTAAGAATTTTATCTCAGGAGGTGGGCCATCTGCACAGAAGGCTGACAAAATAAATCAGCTGTCAATATATAAAGGCCATTATTGTGACATTCTGTAAGTATTTGTGTTTTAACCTGCGTTTGTGGCACATCTATGGCAAACTTTTGCAGAGTGGGCTGTAGGCCAGGGCAAGGCTCATGTTATGCTAAGGATTCTCTAGTGTCAAGTCGTAGGGCTGTTGGCTTTTATAATGTTCATGCACAGAGGTACATTGAACTGAACATTGTTGAATGACAATGACAATATTCTTGCAATGCTGAAATCAATTTACAAAGGGGGTCCAGATATCAGAAATGTCCTTTTCTCAGAATTGTGATTTCAGGACATCTGACTTGTGGAGCATTAAAATATAATATATATCCTAGCTGAACCTAAACCTGATTAATTGACTAAGAAAAAAGAAAAAATTTCTTTGAAACATGAAATATATCTCTTCCCTGTTATTGATGAACCTCTTCTCTTTTCCAAGCAAGTTTACATTCTGTGGATTAGAACCTTTCAATTAAAAAAATCCTTTTATCTTTGCAATAACGTCCTCTACCTTGATATACACTAGAGAACCCCCCACTGAAAATGTGCAGCAGTTGCTGGGCAGCATCACATATACAGTATCTCATGATTTGCCCACTGCAACAGGCACATAGTATGCTTGGTGTTTCTTAAATTGAAAAGCAGTGCGGACAGACAATCCTTGTAGAATTACCCCTGATTTCATATTGCCATGTAGACAGACAGGAGAACTTGCTCTGCATAGCTCACAATGTCATCTCTGTTTTTATCTGCAGAAAAACAAAACTCCTCTAGCATTTTCCAACATGCACTGTTTTACAAGATCATTGTCCAGGAAAGGCTTCTGCTTTTTAGCCAGTGCTTACCTTACTCAAAGAGAAGCCACTATGGTTTTTTCCTGTACAGTTGCTGATGTTGTGAGAGTGGAATTTGAAGTAGTGCCTTAACATTTATATTTACTACTGTAGCGATGCATACAGTGCCTTGGTAAATTAAAGCTCAGTTTTTGTTGTTGACTTTGCTGCTTTTGTTACTATCTATTTCCATCACAATTGCAAAAATGGGTTGCTCATCAGAGCTGGTGGCTTTTGGAAGAATTGACAAGTGAAGTACAAAGGAATCCATAGGCAAAACACAAGTAGTGTATCATTGATGATATAGTTCAAAAGTAAGTGCTCAATAATAGGCTGTTATGGCACTCCCATGCCATGCATAGGGATATACAGTATATTGTTCACATTTGAATTGTTTAGTCCTCTCTAATTTACCTATCTCAATTTCTTATTTATATTCTATTTCTATTGTTTTGTCAGGTGCAACAGTTCTGCGTTACTGTACACTGCCTCTGGAGTGGATTTTGAATGTAATTGAAACAGCAACTGTGAGTGTCATAGTTCATCAACAGCCTTTACCCCAACGTTCAAAGACACATGGATTTTGATAACGTCTGTTTTCCAATTAGCCTGCTATGGCCCGACAATTACCCTTCATAGCAATGTCCTACTGTTGGCTTCAAGGCGTTTATATTAATATAATCCACACACTGCCACTCTCATAGTCCATCTGCATTATAATGGGCTTGAGGTACATTCATTTTTCAACAATAGCTACCTATAAGCTGCTTATGCATGAGAACCACATTGAGCAGATATTGCAGATGAAATTTAATGAGACAGTCATGCACTGGTGAGCTGTATTAGGCTGCCTGAGTAGTTCAGCAACCTGTATCGCCCACTTCACAGCAGGCTACTGGTGAATCACTATTGATAGGGTGACAGTGCATATTGGGGAGTCATTAATGCAGACTAATACAGAACTCCAGAACTGTTGTGATTTATGACTTTCATGTCTCCTTGTTGCCTGAAAATGCAGTGGTACAGCATTATGTGACACACTGTATTAAGATTCTGACTCCCACAACTGTGTAGACCTCCGAGTCCAAAAACACAGGCAAAGGGAGACCACTTGACTTTGGGCTGCACAAAGAAAAAGGTGGCTAGCCTTATTAATCGCCCTGCAAATGTTTTTTTTTTAAGTCTGCTTAAAGATAAGGCCATTAATGAGGATTAAACTTATCAGTGACTTGAGATTAGTAATCACTTACCTAGAATAGCAGACTGCTCTCAACCAGCCTGGGGTTGCACTTGGAAAAGGGCACTGAAAGGCTTGCTATCTTAAAGCTGGAATTTTAATATCAAACTGAACGAGCATTGTTCATTCACGAAGGCTGGCCATGTTTTTTTTTTTTCATCCTGGAAAATATTACCCATGGGTTCTGTTTACACTGCTGGCGACTGAGCGATGAAGTTACCAGAGAACTGTACAAAACAACATTTGTGTTTCTCTCCATGGATGGCATTCATCTTTGAGCTTTGTCCATATCTGAAGTCATCATGGGTCACAGATGAAAGCCCCGTTTTATATCGGTGGTGTAGCTCCAAGGAGCATTCCCGTATTTATTCCTTCATGTTTAATTTCACAAATGAATTCCCCAGTTAATGTCTTTTGAAAAGGCGGGCAGTTCATAATTTAAAAAGGAAACAAAATAAGACAAACAGAGGTTACTTTTAACTACTGTTCAGTTCCAGACTTCCCTGTACAATAGATACAGTGTTATTCTCCAGAATTGATAGTTTTCCTTTAGTTTTTTAAATATAGTACAGCATTTGTTTCTGTTGCCTGCTGGCCAATACTGTCAATTCAGGAGTCTGGTCTTCCCCCATATCTTGAGCCACTGCTATTTCATGGACCTGGGTTAGTTTTTAGACTGTATCTGCAATGCACTAGAAGCTGTGCCTCTTTTTACAAAGGGAAATCTTTTAATGCGATGTAATAATTTAACAAATAAGCAGGGACAGTTAAATTGGCATGCTGAAATATTTAAGTGGCACTGTAAAAAATGAATTGTTGTGTTTTCTAATTAACAAAACAACAGGTGAAATATGAGCAGAACAATAAATTCTTAAATAATGTTTTTGTCACCAGTAACCTTCTAAGCTTTGGCAGTGTCATACAGCCTCTTGTATTACAATATATCACTATTGGAGTGCTTTGAGTAAGTTAGCAACTAGGCTTGGCGAGGTGAGATAGCTCAATTTCAGGTCCTGTGGCTTCGTTTTCCATTAGGCCTCTTTAAAGCTACGTCCTAGAGATATAATAGATAAGTTTAAGGACTAGGAACTAGAAACAGTAGAAGGAAAGGAAGCAAAGTTTTAAATATACCATTTAAGTACAGATAAAGTGCTTTTTTATTAACTTTTGTCTCTGATGCTGTTAAAGTTGAGTTAATTTTGAATTAAGGGTGGAGAAGCACTCTTAGAGCACTCACTTCAGGGGAAAGGTCTAGAGGCCCCTAATCACTGGACTACTGACTTACTAAGATCTCGATTTTTGTTTTAAAAGCATGTCATACATTTTGTAACAGTGCCTGTTGAATTTTGTTGAATCAGACTCAATCTTTCTCTGAATGATATTACATCAGAATAAAGAGTGAACTAGTGCATTCATTTCCCCCTCCATTATCGACAGACCTACTATCACCAGTGCATTCAAAGGATGTTTCATGTGGGGCTACAAAGAGTACAGATTCCTAGAGCAGAAAGGTAATTATTGGATTGCACTGCTACAGTTCCATACAAGAGGTTTGAAAGCAGGCCTAAGTCTTGCAGAGGCTTGCTTGTTTAATCAGCGGGTTGGGAATTTGAAAGCTGGTCTCCTTGCTGTCTGGATTCTGTAATTACAGATTTCTGTGACATAGGGGCCCAGAACATGGAAAGCACCCTTCAAAAGCAGAGCATGAAATAGGATTCAGTTGAATTAAGAAAGATTTAAGACAAGTTTTCCAATCAGCGGTAATTTTTTTTCCTATCGGCTGGGGCACCATGAATCCAAAGATTAGTCTCTTTCTGTTTTATGAGAATATATGGAGAGTCAGTCGAGGAATATTTATCTGCCCTGTGTGTCCTTACTGTATTGCTAATCCTATGTAATATTGGGTGTCAAGCTTGATTTTGCAGGGAAGATGTCGACAGTACTTATGGATATGTATTTCAAAACCTTGGAGTCATCCGATAGGATAACATTCCTCTTAATTATCTCTGGAAGCCAACCCACGCCTCTTGGGGAAGGAAAATCTGGATATTAAATCCCCAATATTCAATCTCTGAAGCAACTCTGTACATTGTCCTTTCGTTGAAGTCGTGCATATCTGCTAGATGCTGTAAATGGATTGTGCATGCTACGCTTTTGTGAGGACTAAGGCTTTTAGAGCCAGCTTTCGCTTAGTTCCCTACAATCATATTAAAGGTTTTTAGGGATTCTTTCCCTTTAGGATATGCATAAGGATGATAGTAGGATTTCATATGGGTAAAGAAAAGTAATAATTTATGAGCTACCATTAAGCCTTGAAGGAGTCTGGTAGGGGAATAGAAAAAAACATACATAGTCATTGTAGGCTTTGATGTCTATAAAAAGAAGCTTTAAGCAAACCTCTTATCTTGTTCCTGTAATACTATTTGTACTCTAGTACATTTGCTGATGACACTTTTTACCCATTTCGAAGTTCAAAAAAAGCAAGGTCATCTCTTTGGCAATGCGGTGAAAATACCATGATTGTAAAAATGAATGTAGACAGAGCTGGAGTAATATGTACATTTTTAGAAATTGAATTATTAAGTTTGCTTTTATTTTTTGTGGGAGAAAATAATGTTCATAACAGTTGTTTTTCTTTCTAACCTGCTACTCTAACTGAGGCTGACCAAGGCACAACTCGGATAATTTCCACTGTAGAAAGAAGAACCCTGCATTAATTTCAAAGCAGGTTGCTGGGGATTGGGGAAAAACACATTGGCAGATATACGATTCCTCATCCGATTATGAAAAAGCATCAAGACATTTGTAGTTTAAAAGCATTTTACATCATCATGATCAGATTTTATATTGTTTTGGCTCTGTCTTTTCCTACATATTTATCTATAAACCTGCTGAAAACACTTAGTAGAAGCAATTGGCATAATGTGTGGTTTATTACAGAGGTCTACAGTTGATTCAGGTAGCTGAGCAGTTGCAGAATTTGCTTCAGTGTCTTCGAGACTTTCTTCATATTCTGATGCAGCTGGGACAACCACTGTACCTGAAGTTCATATTTTATTCATTTTGTGAACTCTTTCAGCAATGTAAACCAAAACTCTTGGCAGCCATGAGGCTGGGTGAGGTACAATCACATGTTATGAAGAGGGCTTTTTTGCCTTTTGCTCTATTATTGTCAGACACTGTAACACTTGACTCCCTTCTGCTCCTACATAAAAGGAAAAAAAGATTTTATTGAACCTTATTTGAGTTTCAGCTTCATGCACTCAAAATAAAACCCACAACACAAACTGCCGGGCTTATTCTGTTGGTTAGTGTTCATAAGGAGCTATTCTGTGCTCACACAGAGAATTGGAGTTGGTTGCATGCTATTTAAGTTTACACCTACATTAACACTATAATCCTTGAAGATGTGAAATGCAGGTTTGCTGCATTCTGTATTTCTGGGAAGAAGGATACCCTGCTGAGAACTAACCAAGTGAATTAATCTTCCACTGGGAATCCTGACAAGCATCCAAAGCTTTGGAATCAAATGGGATACAGTGGCCAGTGGCACAGTGATCCAGTGATTACATTGTGTGCTTTGCTCTGGAGAACCCACTTGTGTAAATGGTTTTCAAATGTCGTCAACCTAAAAGAGCCGTACAAACATACAGTATGGGTTACATAAAAAATCCATAATAATTAAAAAACCTTGTATCTCAGTTTATGCCTAATTACCAATGGAGTAACATGCCATTTACTGGAGTACTGGAATCATCTTTTGTGGTTTTAGAAAGTGATATTTCTTTTATCTTCCGAAGAGGACATTGGAGGCTAGTTTTTTTCCCCAAAATACATATCTCTTTGAGCCAATTCAGATTAAGTTCCTGCAGTACACAAAATCTTGTTAATAGTGGGATCATTTAGGTAATGCACTGAGAATTACTGTGAAAAGCCTTAGAAATGGGAAATAAACCTTATGCTATTTGGTTTTGTTTCATGATACCAAGGAAAATGATAACATTCCGAATGGGCTCATTTACATGCATCTGTCAATTCAATTAAATGAATCAACTACTGCCACTGCAGCAGGAAACCTTGCAGAAGCCCAAGCAGCTGTTCGTATTTTAAAATAAGGAGTGCCTGCACAGTACAGATAGAAATCTGCCAGCAGTTCTGAAAGTTTCCAAGCATGCCCCAGCCTACTGAGTTTGGGGTTAATTGGGGAGACAATATTTATTTCCCAAATAGTTGGTCCAGTTTTTCTTACAGACTGTTCCTTTAAGTAGGGGATGAATGGGTATAGAATGT